TTTCATTAGTGATGGGCCTGAGTAAAAGCTGAAAAAGGATTTCAATTATTAATACTTTTCCATGAGCAAGATACATTAGCATCCATGTACGTGGGTCAACTCACCATGAAAACGCTCTTTATAAGCACTCAGTAAATTCACCAAAATGAAAACACCATGACTTTCTAGGAATGAGGACCCGCCACAAGCCCTTGACATTTACCCTTTGTTAACTGTGTCTAATTTCTGGTGATAGAAAGAGTAAAATAAACCAGAGGAAAAATGATTCCTGGAACACCACAGTTGTTTAAAATTAACTATACTAGGTAAATAATTTACTGACTCTAGTTAATGAATTTATAATTATAATTAATAAGGGTTAAAAATTAAAATCCAAATTTCACTGTGCTTGAAATAGTGTAAACAAAAACGTTCTTTTTTGGTAACATATCATTACAAGGGAAAACCAAAAAGAAGTATACTAGCATTAAGAAGAATGGAATAATGAACATTCAGGGCAAAACGATTTCATAAAGACATCAGAGGATTAATTTTTGGATAGTCAGAAAGCAAACTTAGCAGGTATCGACCTAACTGAAGAGTTGTACCAACCCACTGTGTCCTGGATCACACGGGGTCTTCAGAATGGCTTGATAGGTCAGCTGTTAAGACCCCTCTGAGCAGAGAGATGGCAAAAGGGAAAGAGATCTTGCACCTAGCTTGACAGGTACTTCAGTCAACAGTCTGTTGTGAACAAATCTGTTACTCCTTGTGACAACTGTGTATATGGGCACACTTTTCCTATTTTACAAATGAAGAATCTAAGACTACAGAGCTAATTTCCCTAAAGTCACGATATTAAAAAGTGAGTGCAAAGCCAGACTTGATTTTGTCCAGATGGAAAGCCAGTCCTCTTTCCATTAAAACACTGCAAGACAACATTCTCCTCCCAAGCCAGTGAGCGCAGATTGAATTCTTTTCAGTGAATAATGGTACCTCCTCGTTTATCCTTCTGCAGAACTTATACCCCTCTTTTCACTCGTCACATTGCCCTAACCAGGTGCACGTCTGTCACCTGAGATGCCCACAGAGGCCGGGCATCTCTGAGACGCCCACCTCTGAGATGCTCACAGAGGCCGGGCATCTCTGAGACAGACGCACTGGGTGAGGAACAGGCAGAACCTGGTGGACTGATGCAGCTGTGGCTTTGTGCAGAATTTCTAATACATCATCGTAGGTAGACTTTCAGTATATTCAACTACTTGGAAAGGGAAAAGATAACCTCAGTTGAAAGAAAAATTAATTGTACTATTTTTAAATCTCAATGAGTATATTTCATAACCCGCTAAATAATCCTATTAAAATATGTCTATTTTTATTTCTAATGATTTTTTGAAAATGAACCTCTTTGTTTTGATTTGGAGACATTTCAAAGATTCTTGTTTTGAGCAGAAAAATGAACTTGTAAGTCTGTGCTTTCTGATAAGACCGAGAAGGAATATGTAGTAACATACACACTAAAGGCAACACTTGCAGGAAGAATAAAAGGGAAACACAGAAGCAGAGAAGAGTTGGCTACACCCTGAAGTTCCTAGTCTCCCACAAGCACCCTCTCATGACAAGATGGCCTTTAAATATCTTAGTGCAAGGGCGCAATGTGCCGTTTCTCTCTGCCCTGACTGCGGATGAGCCGCCGGCCAGCGCTCACCTCACTGACAAACACAGAGTACCGAGCCAGAATCTGCAGCGTGAGTCTCCAGAGACGATGCACCAGCAGTGGCAAGAACATCTCATCTGCCCAACACCGCTGGAGGCAGCTCCACGTTCTATGAGAAGCCAAAAGGCAGTAGGAACTTCCAGCTAGAGGAAAAAACACATACATTTAAGGAAGCACAGGCAGGCAAAGGCTAAGATCTGGCATTTTCATTGTGTAATTCAAGAGTGAAGAAAGCATTCTGAACAGCTCTTCGCAGTCAACACAGCTGTCAGGGGAGGGGCAAGGGGACCAAGCGGCCATTCCCTGCGTCACTACAACTTTCCCAGCAATGCATTTCTAATTTGATGGTTCCAGCTCCCAGATTTTCTATATAAATTAAATGTATACAACAGGCAGAAATAATTTATTTGTTGGTTATTTTATTCCAAATGAGCTGGAGTGGCAGTCAACTGAAAGGGATTAAACTTTACATTTAAACAGGAAATGGTCCTGTTTCGTTTGCCTATGCTTCTATACCCTTACCTGAATATACTACGTATATACAGGAAGTCAACTGCATATGCCAATTTGGCAAAGACAGATGAATACTACCTTCAAGGATAAATTAGTTCAGTCTGACTTCGTTGCAGAGACAGTAACAGGCATTTACATTTCCTACAGACCATGCGGCTATACAAATCGCCATTACGTTAGCCTCTCGCAAGCACTGAGGCGTGACCTGTATCGATGTGGCTGTAAGGAAGCCAACACATCTGGAAGTCTGCCTACTGACAATGGCACCTGCCACATCACAGGACAGGAACCCAGGGCTCTGGAGGTCTAGGGCATGAGGTCCCATCACAAGGCACCCCGGGAAGGCCAAAAGAACATAGTCAGTTTGCTTAAAATGGGCTGCTCATGTAAGCACACCCTTGACATGTTATGAAAATGAGGTAAACTGCCTGTATTCGTTAAGCATCCTTTTAATCACTTTTAATGACTTCTTTTGCCTGGTGAAAAAAGCTGAATTAAGCTTTTTAAAATTTTTTAGTTTTTAAAAAATTAGTTGAATTAATTAATGAACTAGAGGAAAAGGTGAACATACCAGCAGGATAACATGCCTAAGGTGCCTTTGTGAGCTCAGTCAACTTAATAAGGGCACCCTGTCACTTTAGGGAAGTTACCTGGAGCGTCTTCGAGAACATCTGTAAGTGCTGCTTCTAAGGACCCCGCTATTTCTCTAAATCTGAGAGAAAAACAAGAGCACAGATTAGTGTGACAATGGTTAGATGGCTTTTTCTGTCCACTCTTTTTTCTTCCTAAGTAAAAGCAAATTTTTCGACTGGCTTGTTGCTAAGTCCAGTCTTAGGGCTGCCCCGCCTACATCAGAATGCTTGTCCTCCCAGACTTTTTGTTACTGAGCAGGAATCAATTATCTTGATTAAGTCACTCTTGGGCAGGTTTTCTCTGCTGCTTGCAGCTAATCAGTATTACAATTAACTGCAAACTTTTCTAACTAAACAGATTACTGCAATTAAGTCTCCATCAAGAAGTCATTTTCCCCAAACTATTTATTTATTCATTCATTCATTCATTCATTCATTCATTCATACAGTACTGGGGTACAAACCAGAGGTGCAGGTCCAGAGACAGAGTGAGGGCAGAACGAGCAGACTGATAAAGTACCCTGCTGAGGAGAGCAGCGGGCGGGTCAGGGGAGGTCTGCCACGCCATGTGGGTCACCTCTGGGGCCAGGCATCAAACTTGCACTGAAGCAGCTGTGCTAGCTTGCACTGCTTTGTCCTAACCCATTGTGCCACCAGGGAGGTCCCTCCCCAAACTCTTAAGATACAGAGAACAGATTGTGTAAGGGGCGGGAGGGAATGTGTGTGAAACAGGTAAAGACGGGTCAACGAAAAAAAACAACATTGTTCTCTTAAATCTACCTGGCTCTCATCATGTCATCCCTTCAAGGCCATGAGACAGTGGCCTGCCTAAGCCACTGTATCAGCTCTATCACCAGCAAGTGTCCCCAAACTAAGAAATGGGAAAGTCACATTCTGAGTACTGTTTGCAGCTAGAGAAAAACCACTGAAATATCCAAGGCACAAGCAGGATGCTGCCTGGTCTTCTGGAACCTCCACGGAGCCTCCTCGGCGCTGGTCCCATCGGTCCTGCTACTGGGTAGGTAGGTACCTGCATGGCGGCTTCCGGGAAGCTGCTTTCTCCTCAGTAGACAGCAGGCCCACCTGGCATTCAGATCATCCTGGAACTGACTTCTGTTTCAGTAACTGATAGGAACGCAATTTTATGACTTTGTGAAATGAAACTTTATCTTCTGTATATTTTTATACACCAGCGGCTCATGTAGTATTTTGTTTCCTATCTATAAACTTTTCCGCCTTTTGTACCAGCACACTCTGATCACCTACTATTTACCTTTCTAGCAATAAAATCTGAGACACACTGAAAATCAACTTACCTAATTGACTTTACTGGATTTTTGAGAGCACATTTATGCTTTCTATAGTAGTTCAGAGAGTGAGCTTAAGGAAGCTGTCTGAAAAGTTAAAGCAACAGCACTTCAGATAAAACAGCAGTCTTGTCTTCAACTAGGGTGCGGCCCGGGTGAGAGGTGAACTCTCTCAGACCCCAATGGAGCCATCAGTGCTGGCTGGTTTCCTACGGCTTCCTGTATGCCACATGGGAAGGGCTCTTCAGCTGCCTGGGGGAGTGTACAAAAGGCTAGTCTCTCCAGTGCAGTTGAGGAGCCCAGGAAAGTATGATGAGAGAGGAGGGTGTTGGATTCAAGGTCAAGCATAGCAGCAGTGACCCTGAGCAAAATGAAGAGAGGAGAGACTGCTCTGGGGTGGGGGCTGGGGAGCGGAGGGAGAGAGTGGGAAGAGCAAACCCGCATGTAGCTCTCACTCTCAAACTATGAATTCCATCTTAAAAAAAAAACAAACAAAAACTACACAATTGGGCCTCCCTGGTGGTGTAAGGGTCTCAGCTCTATGAAGCTGTCCACAGCTACTGCAGCATGAGTTCAATCCCAGGCCAGGGAGCTGACCCACAGGGCGCAGCAGGCCTTCCCTGTCTTGCAGCTGTTCCCCTCTGCAGTGTATTTCGGTCAGTCTCCCTGTTCTGCTTCCCACTCTGTCTCTGGTAAATCCTCTCACCCCCTGCACCTCTAGCCTGTACCCGAGTTCTTATATGCACAAACAAGCAAATCTTTAAGAAAATTACACAAAATATAGGAAGTAAGCTCCAATGCAAAAGGGCTCGAGCACCAACACAGCGCTGTGTTCACAGGGAGAAACTGCAAGCAGCGTCAATGAGCCCGAGTGAGAAAGTGGTTCTAGAGTGAGTGGCACATCTGGACGTAGCAGAAACGCCTGAAGCTACATGGCGGGAAGGACAAACTGGCATTCCTGAGCAGTAAGTAAAGACAGGGACACAAAATCACAGGTACATCTAAGACATTCTAGAAAACATTCAGATGAAGTACAAGAAATTGACGTAGCAAGCTGTGGCCTTGGTGCCTCTCCCACAGATAGCACGATTCTGGGTGATGTCTTCACTTGTGACAAAGTGGAAAGAGCCAAAAAATTAAAATCGCTCTCATTTGACATTGTTGTGCCTCCCCAACTCGATGTTCAGCAACAGCCACTTCTAGGAGTGACGTGATAGATTATATTTTTTGGAAAATGGCAAAAGTGAGAGGATACTTTGGTGAAACTTGGAAAATAAATTTCACATCAAGGGAATATCATTCTACTCTTCACGGGATATATAAGAAAGGAGGCCCCAAAGACAAACATCTAAATTCTTTAAATTTGGGCTTAGAGAAGGTCTCTCTTTTCTCCACACAGAGCACGGTCTGTTCTACCAAAGTATTCATATAAAAACCAGAACAGGGCCCTTCCTGGTGGCGCAGCAGGTTAAAGCACAGCACTAAGAAGCTAAAGCCACTTCAGCATGAGTTTAATCCCTGGCCCCGGAGGTGACCATATGGCACAGCAGACCTCTCCTGACCCGCCCACTGCTCCCCTCAGCAGTGTACTTCGTCAGTTGGCCTGTTCTGCTCCCCACTCTGTCTCTGGTGAATCCTCTCACTGAGCCTCTGGCCTGTACCCCAGTTCTATATGCATAAATAAATCTTTAAAAAAAAGTAAAAACAGTAATGATAATAGTAATGGGTGTTACTTTCTCTGCTCTGTAGTCTTAGGGACTCCAGAGCACACATCTCTCCTTTGCGAGATACATACTTGAGGGGGGGATAGGCAGCACATTAATGCCATACAGAATCTCCATCCTGTCAGAGTAAATACATTATGTTCAGCACGTACTGAATATAATATGCACCGTATATATATATAAATGCACTGGAAGCATTTGGCATTCTAGAAAGAGTACAATTAGAAAAGCCTTGAAAGTCAGGCTTTGGTGTTTAAGGGGCTAACAAACCAGCTCCCAGGTATCCACTCACTACCTGAGATTGTTCTGGTCACAATTGTATTTACCTTCTTCTGTGAGAAGCTAAGTCCTAAAAAGACTTTCCGACACTCTAATAAGCGCAAAGGACTGGAGGCACAATAGGGTAACAACAAGGGGATCCCAACGCGTTTCCAGAATGGGGGTGCTGCCTCTCCCCTGAAGATGGCTGGCACTTAGGCAGAGTCAGATGCAGGAGCCCAGACCTTTACTGAGAGTAATATTTCCATAGAAACATGTCAAAAACATTACTGCCCACTGCCATCAGGCTCCCTTCAATGCCCCTGAGTGAATCAGATCATAACACAGCTTGCCCCCACCTGTTTGCAGGACTTTTTACATCCCTCAGAGTAAACAGTCTGGTACCTGACATAAATCAATGTAATAGGCCCATATAAATTAAGCTTATTGTCTTAGTGAAAAAACAAATACTTCAAAACTTCACAACACAAACATTTTAAAATTGTTCATAAATTTTTAGAACAAAAGAAAGTTAACCAAATCCTTTGAGTGTTTAAGGCTAACATTTTGTGAAGGTGAAAAAGTCTTTCTGGGAACGGGCAGTGTTTGACCAGTTTAAGGCTTCATAACCAGCTATGGGAACCTATAATAAGAGGAGTCCCAGTTCAGGCGATACTGTAGGATGTCACAGTCACCTGGGCCTTGCCTGGCAGAGCCCGGAGCATGGGGCTGGAAACAGCTGTGGAAGCTCCAGGATGTAGTGCGGCAGCTCAAGACTACTAAGCATGGAGTCATGGCTTCTGCAGAAAATGACTGGAAAGACGAACTTTAGCAGCAGCAGAAGACAGAAGTGGGTGATGTCACAGTGTGAAACACCTAAAGTTCTACAGTAGTCACACTCTTAAGAGACTACAAATAAAAGGTAAAATTTAAATGCTGCTCCTCTACTATAATCTTATGTTGTGAAATGATACTTCAGTTTTAAATTCTGCTCATGAATCAAAAGGGCTTCTTGCTCTATTTTGATTATTAGGGAACTATTCCCAATGCAGATCACAAATATTTATATAGACAAACCTTTAATTTCTGACTGGAAGACAAATTGCATGATGATGTAACCTTGGATAATTAAGGACAAACACAGAATTTTGTGTGAAACATCACTTTACTGACATTCTGATAGCTGGGATTTCATTATCGAAGATGACTGCATAAATTCTCAATCATGGCAAACAATTACAAACAAGGTTCCTTTATTTTTATCTGTAATTTTCCCTCAGAAGTGTGGAGAAAAGAACTGCATCATAATTAATGAAAATATCCAGCCTCTTAAATAGAAAAAAAAAATCTATGATTTTTTTTAAAAAAGAGCTAACTAAAACATTAGCGTGTTTAATGCTATTCTATGGCGCTACGTACCATGACTTCATGTGAGAGAATCTGCACAGGTATGATCACCTACTTCTCTAATGGAATGTATATCAAGGCTTTATCCTGAACTTCCCCAAGGAGAACAGAGCACCATTTACTGGCATAGGTGATACAGTAATGCTATCTAGAAGAAAAATGTTGCTGTTTTCTAGAATAGAGAGAATGAATGTCACAAGCACTACAAGGGAAACCAAACCGGTAACTAGGGCTCTCACAGCTTGACAGAGGAGTCAACTGCAAACAATACTTAAAACTATGTATCCCCATCCCTATAAGGAAAACACATGCAGAATCAACAGATGTGGGACATATCTATTGTTTGAGACAGGTGAGAAGACTGGGAAAATGGAAGGAAAGAGCACTAGACAGTTTCTGTTCATGACAAATGAGGAAATAACAAACAGGAGTGAGGCTGGGTTTGGAGTCCAGCTCATTCCATGTCTAGAGTTCTGAGCTCTCTAACTGCCAAGTAATAAAACATCTTTTTGTTGTACAAGCCATATCGTTGGCAATCATGACACTTGTGCATTTCTACATTAAATTTTATTTCCCCAACGGCCACAACATGATCACAAAGAAGGGGCCGATTGGAGGTGACATCCTTGACTAGTATTCAAATTCTGCAAGGGTGGAAGTGAATAAATTACTGACCTTATTTGGAAGTAGACAGGCAAGTTCCACTTATTATTGAAGCTGTGATAGGCAGGATGTGCTCGTAATCTTTTCACACTGGCCTGAGATCCACATTGCCGTTCAAATGTTCTTACAAAACCCATACTTATGGTATATTTCTAAAATAAGAACAAACAGGTGGAATTTTCATTGAAAGCAAACTAGGAACGATAGTGAAGATGAAGGTGGTTAACATATAGAGTAATAGTTTCTAGAGCTGAAGGAAACTTAAGGAATCTTCCTTCCCAGCTTCCCACTTAAAGTCCATGTAATGCCTGAAGTGCTTCTGTGACATGCTCAAGGTTGTAAGGGCAAGCTCCTCAGGAAACCAGGTAACCAGTCCGGTGCGCCTCACATGGCGGTTTGCACATTCCAGGGTACCCTGAGCCCATCAGCTGAAGTTGGAAAAGATGGCAGATTATGCTGGAGTAAAATTTTCATTGCCTCTCCAACAGAAGTAGAATAATTTAAGGAGGAAAAGGAAAGAATCAAACCACATGAGTGATTATTGTGTCTTAAAAATGAGAGATCAGGGAACCTACCACCACCATTAAGAGCAGCTAGTACTTATTTAACACTGTGCTTGAAACTGTACTGCTGTTATTAGAAAAGTCATGATGTATTTTTCCTTTGAAACACAGAAACAGAACCATAGAAAAAGTGTGATTTAGGGGCCCTCCCTGGTGGCAAAGTGGATCAAAGCACAGCACTGAGAAGCTAAAACCACTTCCACACGAGTTCGATCCCCACTCTGTAGGTGATCCACATGGCACAGCAGACCTCTCCTGACCCACCTCAGCAGTGTACTTTGCCGATCTGCCTGTTCTGCTCCCCACTCTGTCTCTGGTGAATCCTCTCACTGCCCCTGCACCTCTGGCTTATACCCCAGTTCTGAATGAATAAACAAATCTTTTTTTTTTTTTAAGTGATTTAACTCACAGAACTACCTTTCCAGGCAACTACTATTTATTATCATCTCTCATTTTGTAAACCACATTTCCTCTTCTGTGGTCTCAGAAGAACTGGCCCAAAAGACAAAGCCAGGAACAGAGCAAACAGAACCCTGGCAAATAAGAGAGCAGCTGCTGGGAAATGCTCGTCCATGGGCCGTCTTATCAAATGCCGGGGCTCCAGGACGGACACGGCTGGGCTTCCCACTTACTTCTTATTTATGAGGGGTTCAACTCTGGGTCACCAGGTCACCAAACTGTTCACCCAAATATGCTCATGCCTGTGCACAGACAGGAATTTTGGTGCAGGAAAAAAGCTACAGGTTTTAAACTATTTTCAAGTGGTTTTGAGCAATGATTATGGAATTTCAAATATTATTCAGCTTATTTCTTGAAAGAAACTAGTAAATACTTGCTAGAAATTATCACATCATCATTAAGGATTGGTTTAGAAATTAGCATCACAGAGCTTTATCTCTGAATGGAAACATCTGATGTTTGTATGATCAATATGATTTTCTAAAGAGAAAAGCAAAATGTAAAGGCTTTTAAATTGCTGATGTTTAAGACTATTATTTCACTCTGCTTATAGCATCTTTTTTCAAAAATTCTATACTTCCACCATCACAAAAAACTCTATGATATCAAACAGTCATACTGGTCCCATACTGTGACATGGGTCAATTAGTCAGGAGAACAGACATATTTCTAGAACAAGAGTTTATAAAGTTCTTGTCTTCCCTGTTTTGAGGTCTCCCCTGGCCTTACACGTTACCACACTGACCAGAAAGGAAGCAAATAGAACTTTGAAATGAAAATTAGGATATTTAAAATTGGAACCTCAATGTATGGATGAAAGGAAATTTGACACAACTGAAGCCACACTTTGTGAACTAGAAGACAAGTTCTGAGAAACTGTTAAGAATTTGACAGACACAGAGATTAAAAAATGAGTAAGAAGCATAAAGTGAGGAGACTTATGCAAGAATTCCAGTAAGAAATTACCAGAATAGGGAAAAGGAAAACTGAAGCCATAATGGATAAAACTCTTTCATAACAAGGAATAGACACCAACCCTCAGATACAGTAAACCAAACCCCAAACACCATAATAAGTAGACCTACCAGATGAAATAAAAAGGCTTTAACTACACAGCAAAAAAACCAAAAAAACTACATTGATAGCTGACTTCATAATGGAAATCAAAAGACAGTGCTGAGAATTCTATTTCAAGGTAGAACACCTTTCAAACATGAAAGTAATAAAGTTATTTTCAGACAAACACAAACTGAGATTCTACTATAAAAGATGAATTATCAACAGATCCTATTAGGAAGTGTTCTGCCTTTCAGAAATGATCCAAGAAGGAAGGTATAGCATCCAAGAAGGAATGGTATGCAAAATAAAGATAAATATGTGGGATAATTCTCAGAAAATAATGACCATATGAAGTAATTAAGACACCCAATTTGGGGGATTCAAACCAAAGTCGAAATCAGACCCTACGACCAGAATATATCCTATGAGCGGGTGGCTGGTGTCACCGTGCTGCTTCCTAGACTGTTTAGGACTAAGTAACCACTAAGATTACATAAGACACACAGAAATAAAGAACAGAATTTCCAATTAGTAGAGGAGACAAAATAAGATGAAAAATACCCTGAAAAGTCCACAAGTAAGGAAGAGAAGGGAAGAAGCTAAGCAAGATGAGGAAAGAAAGTGGGACAAATAGGAAGTACAAAATAAGACCTCAATAAACTAGCTACTATACTCATTGTAAATTTCATAAACTATTAATTAAAAGATAAGAACTACCAGAATGAATAAAGAAAACCAAAAATCTAAAATCAAAACCCACCAGGGAACACAAGGAAAACAGGCACCATGAGTCTGATCAAGAATGATCAGGAGGACTGGGGCAGAAACGCAGCCCATCTGGCCCCCAAAATCTCAATTTCTCACCGTTGACACTAGGGTCTCCCTTTAAAAAATGGTGCTGTTACCAGAACCCAGCCGCTTCAGCGGTGGGAGCCCCAGGAGCAGTGGTTCTCTCACCCTGCTGCTCCCACAAGCCAGCTGTGGCAGCTGCTCCTCGGAGCCCTTTTATGCAACTGCCTGCATTGTGGAATGGGCCAATCAGGTGTGAGCTGTGAGCTGATTGGTGCTAAATGGTCCATCAGTCACAAGATTGAAAAATGGTCCAAACACATTTGTGGGTGGGGCACCCTGAAAGAGAATATAAGCCAGGGTTGGTGAGAGTTGAAAGACAGACAGTTCCAGCCTCCAAAGAAGGAAGGAAGATGCTTCCGGCCTCCAAAGGAAGAACAACAAAAGGGAAGACTCTGTCCTGACCTTCAAAGACAAAAGAAATATACAGGGGCTGACCTCCAGAGGTTGAAGACCTCTGTCAGGGCCTCTGGTCCTGTCTCTGACGGTGCCTGAAAGGAGTACCAAAGGCCCAAGCCTGGTGTCTCAAAGAACTATTTGTGTCACAAAGAGCTGTTAACACTTGGTATCTATGACACTGCCTGTGGAGGACCAGTAGTGACCATCACTAGATAACCAGCTGCTTGTGTCTATAGTAAGCTCTTCGTTAATGCTATCTGGAACATAAACCTCCTGGTGGTTGTTCCTCGAGGTCCCTTGCAATTGTGAGTGCCAATGAGAACCAACAGACAGTGACTGCCCTCCTGTCGGGCACTGTCCCTTGTTAGGCTCCAGCCCGTAGGCCCTACTGTGTGGGTGTTGTATTGCTATAGCCCTTGGTTTTGGCTTTGGCCGTTCAGCCTTTTGGGCTTTCTGGTGGCTCTCTTGTCTCAAAGCCCAGGCTGTCCCAGCCTACCATCTGGCTTCCTGTTCTCCTGACTGCCCCAATTTCAGTACAGCAGAAAACAAATACATGGATATATACACTGGATAATTCAACCATGAAATCTTTTAAATAACATGACTTTGTTTTATAAAAAGTAAGCATAGTCTCCTAACCTTTTAAATTATATAGGACACTTATAGACCACATATACAATACAATCAATACTTTTATTTCAAAATTATTCAGCAGAGATACGAACTTAATTTTTCATGGAAAACAATCTCCAAGAGGGTAGATTTTATCTTTTTTCTAAAGTTAGAAAATATAGTGTATATTTTTAAATAAAGTTCAAAAATAACACAATTATTAAATTACATCTTCACTGAATTATACTTTACATTTTAAGTTAGAATACTTCCTAAGGTACCAGAAGTTAAAAATTCTATAAAACAATGTATTTCAGTTGTTCATTCACTTAGTAACGCCAATGTTTATTTTCAAAATACCTGTCTTTACAAAAAAGGCTGTGCATAAGATAATATGACTATTTTATAGCCTCAGGTTAGGCGCTTCAAGAATCAAAACAATGGAGGAAAAGGTACCTGGTGAAACACATCCGGATTTCCAGGATTAAAAAGTGAAGGTAATTTTTCTTCTAATCCTCGTACTATTTCTGGCCACACAGAATTCACCAAAAAATCATATCCAGGAACAATGTTCCCTTTTTCACTGTAAGATAAGAGCAAAATTTCAGCCAAATATACTATAATCCATTTTATGAAGACCAAAATCCACCATGGTACTTTTAGTAAAGTTCCTCAGCATAAAACATATTTCAATCTTCTTTTAAAAACTACTTGTCAAGTAGTTTCTAGATTTCTATTTCACTTACTGATCTTAGCCTCATCTTGAAACTGACCCGTATCTGTGTCTGTCTCCTATATCTATGACATAATAGAGACGTTAGTGTCAAGGATAAAGCAAACCTACTACAGAAAAACTGGGTGAAGGAAGGTCGGGAACAGCATCACCATGGGGCCTGAAACATGAAGAGGACCAACTAAGGTAGAATTCTGGGAGCTTCTACATGAAACCTGCCACACTCAGAGAGCTTTGGAACTTGACCTTTCAGGACCAAGATCAGTTTTGTCATAACAAACGATTTGTTGTTTTATAATTATTACATCATCATTCTACTAAATTCTTACCCCAAATTCAAATCCAACTAAGTCATGGTTATTAAATAAACCAGGCTTCATCTGTATCCATACAGTGGAAACAGGGTAATTCAAAAGTCAGTGAATAAATTCAAGACCAAATATATTGCTTATATATGAGGAGAGGGGCCTTATCTTTCTAATGCTGAAAATGGATTAAGTGACTTTGCAAATATCGGGCAGCTGCTCTCTTCTGATACTGTGCAGAAAGGAGTGAAGGTGTGGGCCGCACGGCGGGTGAGCGCATTGCTAAGATGGAAATCGGCCATCAGCAGAAGGGGAAACATCTACTGGCATCCCCACAAGGTAGACGCTGGACGCTAGGATACCAGGTGGTCTCTTGAAGGAAGTGGTGTCTGAGCTGGGACGTCATTAGAATGACAGCGCAACAGAAAGGCAAAGAGAACGGAAAGGCAGGGAACAAGGAAACCAGAAGCTGTACGCACACATGGCTGCGAAATCTACAATGGAGGGCCACCAAGGCCAGAGAACAAAGTGCCTCAGAGGGAGCTTCAAGAAGTCTGGACTTTCCCACATAAGCAATGAGAAGCCATTAAAGATTCAGGAAGAAGGCTGAGCCTCTGAATCTCAGAATGCCGGGCAGAGTGAAAATCAGAGTGCTGGGCTAAAGAGGGGAGAGAGGAGGCAGACGTACAGGTGGTGGGAGGAGCCTGTCACTCTAGACAAAACGTGACAAGGGCTGGACTGGTGACACAAGCTATGCAACATCTATCGTCCAACAGTTTCCAGGTAGATCGGGAAAAGCTCTGCAAAATCAGATTTTCCACTGCTAACTTGTATTATGACCTCCCTTTTTTGTATAATCATAATATCAAAATATTCTGAGCAACTTTCAGCTTACAACTGGATTGCCACAGCCGCATAAGGTCTGTCTGCCCTGATAAGCAAGCACTGCACCAGGGTGAAAAATTCCCCTGAAGTCAAGTGACTTGACTACTGACTGATAAATAAACGCAAAAGGGCTGTTTTTGCAAAGTCTCTCTCACTGTCGGATGGATGGAAACCCAAATCTTATCACTCTACTATCTTACCTAGACTTCTATTCAGCTTCTAAAGAATTACTCAAATTTCCTATTGTCTGGCCTTTAGATGTGGAAATTCATCCAGGTTGCCTGTTTTTAGAGCTAGTCAGGTTTTCTACCTGCTGCACTTCAAAGGTATTCTTCTGGTAGTCTTCTGGCTAGTCTTTCAGGATTCTACTATCTAGTCTTTAGATAAGGAAATTCACCTATGTCTCCTATTCAGAGCAAATTATGCTTTCTACTGTCTAGACCTCAAGGAAACTCACTTAAAACCTTTTAGCAAGTTTCTTCAAAGAACTTTACCTTAATTTGATTTACAAGAAATTTCCTCTTCCTGCCCTCACTTTACTTTACCCCCTAGGATGTCTCTATGAGAATGAAAGCCTTTAAGTAATAGATAATGTTTAAGGGACTTAATTTTGGTTAATCTTCACTGTGGTAAATATAGTAATATTAGTCTTAAACTTTGTAAACCTTAATAGATTGATTTTAAAAATGTCATAATCTCAACAAAGGTCAAAGCGACCCCAGACTATTCTTAGAAAAAAGGTGATTGTGATCTCAGCTCATTTCATATGCTAATGTCATCCCTCTGCCTGCTTGAAATGTGTAAAATAAACCTCTGCTGAAGGCAGAGCAGGAAGACCTGCACCCAACTCCCATTCCCGTGTCTTCCTCGAGCCTGCTCCCCTTTTTCCCCCTTTTCCCCCTTTTCTAGGAATCTCTGCTCGCGGATGCCCATTCCCACCTTGAGGCCCTGCCTGTCTGTCCCCCAATAATCCGTGATCAGGGACAAAGTCTCCAACAGACTGGGACCACAGCAGTGGTGAAAAGTAACAGCTGTTTATGACACTAAGTTGGGTAGTCACAGAATTACAAGAAGGAGGGAAAGCTAAAGATGACTTTAAACACAATTAGTATAAAACTTGAATTAAACTGAACTGGTATTTATAGACAGATTACAGCATTAGAATAGTGCAAGGAAATCAATTTTGAGTTCAAATTAGTAAAAATGAAAAAAGCATGGGCTCTGAATTGGCGAGAGATTGCCTTCTGCCTTAGCTTCATCTATTGCTACAGATTCCACCTCCTAACACCGTGGTAACAACAAACTAGAAAGTACTCAAGCAGCAGTTCACACCAGTCAGCACTCAGTCGTGCACTGTTAGTTAACAGGTACAATCATCCACGGATGTAATAATGCGGCTATAGTTTGTTTAATATGCCACTGAAAGTTCAAATATTTGTAGTATAGATTAGATTCAGTTCAATGACAAATAAGCATATATTAGTCATTATTTTTGCTTTTGACCACAGGTACAACCATCTGCGCTCGTTCTAAGCAGAGCGCTTTCAACTAACTACCTTGAGATGGCTCCGCCCGTGACTTCCCGAAGAAGGCGGCAATGGTGAGGAACAAACTCCAGGAGTTTTTCATACATGATCTGAAGGCCATTTGGATGCGACTCAACAAACTGCTCTATAATCACCTATTTAAAAGGAATATACATTTTTACAAAAGCTTCTGTAAGTACGAACACATGCTACAAAGAAAAGAATAAAGAAAACCTTAAAAATACATTTCCTCATGCCCACCTTCCTCCCCAATTGGCAGGTTTTTTAAAACAGTAAGGTAAAGAAAAAAAACAACACATTCAAAACTAGCTCATAGGATAAGGGCACAGTCCTGACCTTGGGGGAGACAGTCTGGGTGAGAGATTAGCCTGAAGCTGAAATCCAGGCACATTTATCTACTTCCCTTCTGAGTTTGAAAGCTCACAGCTCCATACTATCTTGACCTTTCCTGTGTTTTCTACATCACTCAGATAAAAAAAAAGATTTGAGACAAGAAGGCTGAAAGAAAATACATTTTACTCTTTGTGGTAAGGTTCTGAGTCAAGAGGTAAAAATGACAAAATAAGCATATATATTTCAACAAAATAATAATGTGGCCATGGTTTATTTCATATGCCACTGAAAATCCAAACATTTCAATAATATATTAAATTCAATTCAATGCAAATAAGTACATAAATTAGTAATTACTTTTACTTTCCAATAAATAGTATAAATAATGTCTTTTCTACCTCCTCCCCCAGAGACAGCTATGTACTGCACCAGGACAGAGGGGTGGACACATCATTTATTTCTTAGTAATCCAAATGAAGCTGATAGATTACTGAAGTTAATCCTTAACTTTTTATCAGTGGGATTCAGTTTTCACCTTTTTTAAAAAAACGGTTTTGTAACCTTTCACCCAGAAGTCATGGTAACAAGCATCACATTTACTGCACACAAAGGAGACTCACACAGGCCCTGACTAGAGGGAAGTCTGCAAACACTGAGGATGGGCTCTGTGATTTTGCTGGCTTGAGCTGTATGAAACAGCCATTTGTGAGGGAGGAAACTATCAGCAACTGGCGACTTCATCTGATACGACTATATGCCGGTTGCTCAAAGGCAAACTGTATCTACCGCCTACATTTTAACTGTATACTAACAGGTGAAAGATAATGAAAAGCCAAGTTCTGGACTTAAGGTATTTCTCTGCTAGTTTGCCTAAAAAGTCCTTTGTCTTTGACTATTTCCCCCTGCTATCCTCCACATTTCCAGCCACAGACTCTTCCATATTGTTCAAGACTTAGGCCAAATATCATTTATTCTATGACGACTTCCCTCTCACACTGCCCCTGTTCAGAGCTCTCCACCCACTCCTCTACAGGAGTACACAGCACAATGTTGCCATCGCTGATTTTAATCTACACACTAGATCAAAAGTGCACAAACTATTTTAACAATTTTGTAATTTACAAGCCATCCAACCTAAACCAAAGTCATTTTGGCATACCCTGTTCCTAGGCAAGGTCCTCACCCCCACAAAATTAAGATAATCCCTGGTGAATGGGATTACCAGAAAATACTGGTGAGCATGCGCACTTTGTAACCAACAGAGACCAACCAACCCTTCCTTACAACTGACAGTGCAGTAACTATGAGAATCTTTACAGAGAGCTCTTGTATTTCCTTTTATCCCTTACACCCATTTAGGTGTCAAAAACAGAGCAGACACTCTCTGAACGTGGAAGTGCACACACCTCATCGACGTATGGTTTCACAAGTACTTGGCCAACTAATGCTTCTGCATCCCGTGTCTTGTCAATTGTGGCATAAGTCCGCAAGCAGTGCCGTATAATATCAACATCAGAAGTCTGAAGACCTTCTAACAGGAGACCTTCCAGAGACTGCTGTAACATGGCTGTAATGCCAGCTATACGCTGCAAACAAATAGATCAGCGACGAAGTTCCAGTTGGCACAATTTTTAAAATGTAGGCATATATATATATATATATATATATGTGAATATATATATGTATATATATTTACTTATATAAAACAAATCTCTTATATATATATATATATATATGTGAATATATATATGTATATATATTTACTTATATAAAACAAATCTCTTAATACCACAAAAGCTAATACATGGAAATTAAACCTTAATTTTCCCTGGAGAATAACAATAAATCTCTCTTTCCCCCCCACAATCTCCTTATAAGTTTTAGATAGAATTACAGGATGAGAGGGGTAAAAGTGATTTTCTTAAGCTACAAAGTTTACCAAACATCATGAATTTCAAGTCTAGTTGAAGTTTTTGGATACATTTTCTATACTATATACTGTGTAACTTATATGAAATCAGAACCAGTTACTCTTATAATTCAGAGAATATGCTTGTACAAGTCTTTATACACTATAAGGTGTAAAACTTACGAAGCAGAGTTCCCCAAAAACAAAAACCAAAAGAAAATACTCAAGCTAGCTTCAAAATCCTGTATACAACATTGATTAGGGGGCATCGCTAAGTTAAATCAAAATCAGTCTGCAAATTCCTAAATAACAAATTGCAAAAATCTAAAATAACACTTACTGGTCTGACTTTGTCCAGAAGAGGCATGCCTTTACTTTGAACAGCATGAAACTGTAACTGGTTAAATTCTGTGGCAATTCGCTCCAAAATTTGGCCAGTCAAAAGTGGGCTAGTAGAGAAAATTACAGATAATTAATTCCAAAGGTTTTTTTTTTTCAATGTCCAAGAAAACACATCACACAATCATCAATGGTGATGCTTTAAACACACACGGGTTAACTTTTTTGAGAGAATGTTCCTCCTTGGCCCCCTTGTTGCAAGGTGAAAGCTCAAGCGTCTTTCCTAACAGCAACTTTCACTGTGAGCCTTACCACAGCATGTACTAAGTGCTGTGGGCAAGTCCTAAAGTCTAAGCCATGACACTGCCAGGCCTCAGCAACAGCACTGACGAGAAGCGGGAGCTGGGCTAGGGTGGTGTGGGTACACTGTCTCCACACTTCTACCCTCTTCCCCCGTGTCCTCCTACTCATCACCATTTTCACCTCACTCCCTTTTCTCACCCAGGCCTTAACCACTTATGACACCCTATTCTCTGCTACTTCTTTACAAGTCTCATTCTCCCTTCTTTTACCACTAACATTTCTGACATTATCGATACTTTCATCTCCTCAATAAAGTAAAACTGGTCTTCTTGCAGCAATAAATGAAATATGTCAAAATAGCTTACATTTTACACAGGATTAGTTTACATTTACCAAACAGCTGAAAAAAAAAATCTTTATGCCCTGGGTCCCAGCAAGAAGACACACATTGTGTACCTGCCACAAAGTGTAATAAATGTATTATTTCCTCCCATGAACAATATAAAGCATATAAATAGAAAGCATCAATGCCACTCAAACAATATAAATAATATAAAGCATCAATGCCACTCAAAGGAAGTTAAGTAACAAAGTAAGAAAAAAATGTAAAGACCTTGAAGCACCTGCTGGGCTATTTGAAGGCATTCTGTATCTGATGACAGGTCAGTGAGCTAAACCACACGGTGAGGAACTAGGAAAGATCATACTGAGATGGTCGATAGCCTAGTCTGTCCTGTATCTGGAGAGTCCAAACAAGTTTATAGGGAGAGTGACTGCCCAATATGAGCTACCCAAAAGGTTAAGTCCTCTTTTCTGAAAACCTGCTGTGGGCTAATTATTTGTAAGTCACCTAATAAATGTATCCTGGCCTAACAAGCCTGCAATATACACTCTTCAGTTGCAGCCCCTTGGTTTTACCTTCCCTACAGCTCAAAGTTGCTGATTCAAATTGAAGAAAAGGTGATGGATGGTGACCCCAGAGCAAAAATGCCTACTACAAAAATGGAACACTGCGAAGAGCAGTATTATAGAAATCAAATCACTGGGTATTTCAATCGGAAGATCAGAGTAGGAAAGGGCAAAGATGGAAAGCAAAGCGGGAGACAGGTGTCCTGGCTGCTGAGAGAGGACAAGCTGAAGGGACTGCCAGTGCTGCAGAGGGCAACACAAGCAGAGCAGTGACAGACACTCAGGCTCCAAGTCACTGGTCAGCACAAATGTAGGAGACTGAAAAAGGTAAAAATACAAGCGCAGTGGGCAGAAGAAACAAAGATGAAAGGAAATGACCATTACTAAAACATCTTGATTTTGAAAGCTAGAGAACTAGGACAGGAATTCTTTTCTATTTGGATCTCTCATTTCTTTCTTTCTTTTTTTTTTAACAGCTTATTTTACATTTTTACATTTTTTTTTTCCATCTCAATTGTAGTCTCCGTGGGTTTCCCATCACCAAGTCACCCATGTGCCATCCCCATAATCCGTGTACTTCCCTCCCCACCCCCCCGTTTTTGATCCCATTCCCCACTCCACCCCCACAAAATGTCTCTGGTATATGACTGTTCATTATTCTTGTTATTTTCTCGCCTGGTCCATTATACTCCTGCTATGAGTGAAACCATCAAGTATTTTTCTTTCTCTTTCTGGCTTATCTCGCTAAGCATGATCTTTTCCAGCTCCATCCAAGTTGCTGCAAAAGACATGTGTTTCTCTTTTTTGGTTGCTGAGTCATATTCCATTGTATATATTTACCACATCTTTTGGATCTCTCATTTCTTAATCCATATAACGAGAGACATAAAGCATATACTGACTCAAAGCATATACTGAATCTAAAATTTTGGTTCCTAAAATTAAGAAATCCAACCTGTCTTTATAATATGATCAAGACTTTGAACTACGGGCATATTCAATTCAGGTACAATTGGTTTTACAACAGATTATCCAATAACTATTTCTGAAAAAATGTTATGGCTATGAATATGACTGAGAGAAGACCCTATTAGACGGAAATGAGGGCGTAATTGCTGGATCCTGACTGACAGTGCCTCAGTGACTGGCAGGTAAGATGGAAAGGTGAAGTATTCTGACCCTAGCTGGGACAGGTAATCCAAATCTGAGTTCTTTCTGCTCGACCATGATGCTTATATCATCTAACCAACTCACTACCTCAGTCACTCATCTATCTACTTGGGTGATTTAAAATTCAAACAAGGAACCTAATAGGGCAGTCACAGTGTCACAAAGGAAATGGTCATCTTTTTCTTATTCATAAGTTTTCTTTCCTATTTATAAATTCCAGCTAAATGTGGCCTAGAGTGCTGTTAATGATAGCATGTTAGTGTATTTTAAATCTCAAGGTACATCAAAGCTAACACACTTAGCATATCTAAAAAACAATCTTGCTCGTCCATATGTACGGCAATCCCAAGGATAAAACAACTTCCACTGAAAGCAAACTGCCTATGACACCCCTAAGGTGATGTGTTAGAACCACGGCTTATGCATACAAAGATTTTCTAACAACATATAGAAACCTTGTCATGCCAATGCACCCCATTTTTCTTTAGCTACATTCAAAAGACTTGGTCTTTGTTTTTTTTGTTTGTTTGTTTGTTTTTGCAGAAATGAGTTTCAATGCAAAAAAACCCCAAGTCTGGGCATGATATATTAATTTACATGATATTTAATAAAACAAAATTCTTACCTGCTTACTTCTAACGCAGATGTTTCTTTAGAACTCTGAGAATTTAAGATTTTTTCAATTTTCTCAACAGATTGAAGAACTTGCATAAGCCTTAATACACACATCTATAAAAATGAAAATTAAAAAAAAAAAGTTAATGCAAGTTAATCTTAGTTATCTTATTTCCCCATTCTAAATGCAGGAAAATACAAAGCCAAAAGCCATTTAGAACATTCTGCATTTTGAATATTTCTATATAACACTGAATTCCCAAGAAAGCAAATTAAATTTTGTCTTACTAGCAAAATCAAGCAAATTTCAATATACTACTGAAATGGATCAAGCAAATTTCAATATACTACTGAAAGATTACAAGTAAAAAAACAAAACTAGATCTGATCTTATCCTTTCTCATATTCTCCACTCCCATTCCTTTTTTCTTTCCATCTTAAATGAATCTCTCTACTGGTGCTACATTTATTTCCTTATGACTCTCTTTACATGTTTTAGTTTCTGAGTGTATTTATCCTCTCACTATACCGATATGCCAAAGGTCAATTCACTAAAGATTACAAATATTACTAAACTCACTTAACCGATATGCCAAAGGTCAATTCACTAAAGATTACAAATATTATTAAAGCGATTGAAGAACAAACACTTTAATCCTTAAAAGAACAAAAAGATACAGTCATTCATTATATAGTTACTGAGCACCTGTTATGAGCTGGAGGATATGAGTGAACAAAAAACAGGCAAGAGTCCTGTTCTCAGGAAACCTAAAATCTTTTCTAGAAATGCACATTTCTGAAACCTTGGGACAAAAAATTAGAAGAGGTCCATAGGATAGTTAAACAGAAGTTCTCTAATAGGCTTATCACCCTTGAGATTGAAAATATAAGTAAATTTAGAAGACAATAGAGTGCCAGCCTAGCACTGGAAGTTTTGAATTTTAACTCTTACTCTGCCATTCTATCATTGTATTTATAAAGCTAGAAAACAAAATTGAAACAAAGGACTGCATTAAGGAGAGGAGAAAAGATGGAATAAACATGGCAGAATTAGAGCGTAACATGCTACTTTTTTTTTTTAATTATTACAAAAGTTTATTTTTACATCATTTTGCACTTTTTTTTTTTTCCCATCTCGATTGTAATCCCTGCGGGTTTCCCATCACCAAATCACCCGTGTGCCACCACCATAGTCCCATGCATTTCCCTCCCCACCACCCACGTTTTTGATCCCATTCCCCACTCCACCCCCACAACATGTCTCTGGTATATGGTTGTAACATGCTACTTTTTAAAAGGAGTAAACCTACAGCAGAAATGTAACTGAAAGAGCTTACTTCAGAAAACCCCACTTATTGCCTAATCTCTAAAATACAAATATCTCTTTATAGGTATGCTGAGAGATTATATATCTGTTAAACTGTAAAGTACTTCACTATGTCTGCTGTTATTACTTCTTCTTCTGGGACAAATGAGAAATCTTAAATATTTGACCGCTTAAATTCTTATTGAAATAGGTAACATGATACTACAATGCAGGAAGATACATATACAAAAGAGTTTTGAAATAAAAAAGAGCCCAGGCTCTAACTCAGACCATGCCCCTCACTGGTCCTGCTGCACTTCAGATCCCTGGAGATAAAAGGAATCCTCCCATTTCAGAGACAAAGACCCCAAGTGGGTAAGTCAGGTCACATGCACGAAAGCACCTCAACCCCAACATGCCACAGCGCGTCCATGTTAAGACACTTGACTGTACCTTCTTTTTCCTAATGTCCTCTTGTTTATACATTCTTTCATCTACTGCCCGAATTCCTTCACTGACAGATGACCTAAGACTCTTCAAAAGAATAAAGAAACTGCATTACAGAAATTGTTTTATAACATTATGAAATTTACACATTAATTCAATTACACACATGTTAATAGGCAGTATTACACAGATACTGACAAACATATTAGATAAATCTAATATGAATGGAGAGTACCCATGATTCAGAGCAAAAGGACACGCAAAGACCAGGTCACATGAGATTAGCAATCAAAAGAATACTAATACATCTATAGTCAATGTCATCGGTAGTCAGGGTAGAAAAAAGATAATCTGAATCAAAATACAAGAGAATTGGAAGGAAAATAAAACTTGGGTTTGACTCTGAAAACCTGTGTGTGCTGACAAGGGTGGAGAGGGGTTCCTAAAAGACAAACTGTAAGAAGACAGAACTAAGTACGTTCAGAGTTGGTAAGGGTCATACCCCGGGCACTGCAGGATTCATTTTGGAAAGAAGTAACAGTGTAAGAATTAATCGAGTTCTTAAGATATTTAGATTTTACACACTCCAGAAACCAGAGAATGTTTAAGTCCTGCTATGTCATGATGAAATGTTGTTTGGACAAAATACTGGAGAGCAGAAGTAACAAAAAGAATAGGATGGCTAAGAAAAAGGACAGGTCACACACAGGTGAAGAGATATGGCTAACAGCTCATTAATAAAGCCAAGGATGAAATAACTAGAAATTAGGACTAACTAAAAGTAACAGAAATAGAACAATCTGAACAAATAACAGAAGTCCAGAGAAAGGTGAGGAATTCATTCAATAAACATAATTGTCAGCTTTTGTGGTAGTCAATGAGGAGGTCAACGAATAACAGAATAGAAATAGCCCTCAATGACCTTAGAATCTCAAAGAGTAGCTTCTTGAGTGGGCATCAAAAAGAAAGAAAGGTCTACTGCTGACCTAGGAAACGTGTCTATAAAGACAACTGGCGGTAACAACAAAGGACTAGGGCCTGTGTGGAGAGCCCGGTCTCCGAATTCAGAACAGAAGGCAGCAGGTGAACCTCCCTCCAGGGGAGAGTGGAGAGAGGAGTGTAAGATAAAAACAGGCTGAGGAGAAGGAAACACCACAGGCTACAAGGCTGAGCAGAGGAGGAAGCACACCCAAATGAGGGCATGAAAGTCATGCAGAGGTGGGTGTGGACTCCAGTAGAGGACCACAAAAAACACCACCTAGCTTTCAAAAAGAAACACTTTAACAAGCTTTTGGAAAACTCAAACAAGTCATAAACAAGCAAAACTTTAGATGATTTGGAGGCCTACCTTGAGACATTTCTTTGATGAATTCTTTCCTGCCTACCATTCTTCTGTCCTTCCCAGCACTGATGTTTCTGATATTTGCCATTTTCCCACTTGTGTCTCACACACCTTGTGTGCCTCCCATGTGCCAGGCACTGCCTCAGGGGCTGACAGCACAAGGCCACACAAGCTGATGTGGGCTAGTGGCGACACACAAAGGTGATGATGATGCAGTGCACAAAGTTTGTGATAGGGCCTCAGAGCTACAGGCCTGGAAGTGGGATGCTGACACAATCTTAGGGGTTGAGGGGAAGATAGAGCAGCACGCTTTTCTGTTCAAAGTGACCCCCAAACTTCCCCTCTGTGGTTCACCCACAATGAATCCCTATCCTCGATGGCTCGAAGTGGGAAGTTCCATTCCCTCAGCAGAGATTTTCTCAGAATATTAAAACACAATGCTTATTATGTTACATACATACTATCCTTCAGTTATATTAGGAGGTAAACAGCTTTTGTAGAAACCTAACCACATATAAATACTGTTGGGAAAATACCTATAAAATTACCAATTTAAACTATATGAATCATTTATAGATTAAAGACCACTCAACATATGAGTGAGGTGGGATTCATAAGTTGAATTTTGAAACAGCCTTCTCCTCTTCCTGACATTTTATTTATTTATTTTTCATTATGTTTATTTTTTAAAAAGATTTATGTATTTATGCATACAGAACTGGGGTGCCCCAGAGGTGCAGGGGCGAGAGGATTCACCAGAGACAGAGTGGGGAGCAGAACAAGCAGATCGATGAAGTACACTGCTGAGGGGAGCCGCGGGCGAGACAGGAGAGGTCTGCAGAGCCAGGTGGGTCACTTCTGAGACCAGGGATAGAACTTGCACTGAAGCAGCAGCGGCTTGCTTGCAGTGCTGTGTCCTAACCTGCTGCGCCACCAGGACGGGCCCTCCTGACATTTTAAAGCTCTATGCTGAAAATCTGTCATTTTCAAAAACCAGAGACCCATATTTAACAGTTTCTTGCGAAGGCGAGTAATCATGGACCATGAAACAACCACTACCTATCCTGGTTAGAAAAGACAAGTCTAAGAGGCTGTAGAGATGGCTGCCATTGCATCTGGGGACTTACCAGGACCTCCTCTCTCAGCTGTCCCAAAGGCACAGAAAGCTGGTTGAGGGCCTTGTCCATGCCAACCTACAGGCAAAACCAAGGGTGCACAAACGCATCACAAACGCTGTGCCATGATCAAAGCAGTAACAGACTTAGGTGATTCTTTCCATACAACAAAAATGAGCCACCACAGATAATATGTAACTAGTTAGATAACAGAAATGCTTATGTATAGCATGGCGTGGGTAGTCAATGACACAGTATTGCAGGTTTCAAAGTTTTTAGGGAAGTAAATATTAAAAGTACTCACACAGAGAAACCTGTCACTTGTGTGGTGACAGATAACTAGAGCTTTTGTGGTGCCTCTTTTTAGTATCTACAAATATTAAATTATTGAGTGAAACTATAATACCATATAAATATATATTATCTAAAAGTAAAATAATGTTGCATATCAATCTTATCTCAATAAAAAAAATTTAAAACAGAAAAGTTATTTTGTCCTAAATAGCACTCATACAACATGAAAACATCTGCTAACATACACAAAACTATATAAGTAAGGAAAATTAAGGCTCGTTATGCACAACTTGCTTTTGGATCAAATTTTCATGAATTTGAAAACTTTTATTAGGTGAATAGCTATCTGTCTGTAATTTAAGCTATTTCACCATTTGATGAGAAAGTCTGATGAACTCTATCATAAACATTACAATAGCCCTCCAGGAAAACCCAAATTAAATAGTACAGAAACAGTTTAATTTTTCTGGGTTTCTAATCCTCCCAGGAAATTTATGTAAGTGGTATATTTCCCAAAAGCAAATATGACTCATTGATTTTAATAGTTCTTGAAATTCCCATGGAGATGCATACTTCCTGCATCTCTTTGGACAGATTTAAAAACCAATTACATGAACAAGAAGACATTTTTGCATGGGTTAGACCTCAAGCATTTCTAACCCACTTAAACAAACAACAGGAATGACTACCATAAACCTCTTTAACATGTTCATATAACCAAGCCACCTTTATAAAGATCTGGCCCACATTCCCCAGCCTGGCTATGGCTAGCACATGAGCTTTTAAGTAAACTAAACATTTCCTTAGCAGCGGAAATTTGCCCTTAAAAATTACTATAAACCAGTGAGATTTCAGTCATCTCTTAGAAACTAATAAAAACACTGATACATTTTCCTCTACACGAATTCTCAGTAACTAATTTAAAAATAAACTAGTGGATTTAAGCGAGTTAAAAAGTAAACAAAAAAATGTACACCAAAAAGCCTATTTTTGTGTTAATGAAATTAGTGGTATCTTCAAGTTCCTGGGTGGGGGGCTGGGGGGGAATTAATGAAAGGGTTCTAAGAACATTCAGCACTTTTAAGAATATAAATGGGAAAGAAAACATGTATGAGCATATGCAAATATACTGACTACTAGGGTCTATCTGGATTTAAGGTCTCACCAAATTCGTTGAAAGGTTGACAAAATCTGCATAATCCTTATTTATGAGTTCAACCATAGCCGTCTTGAGAAGTTTATAGTAGAGTTCCAGGTCATCTCTCAGTTCTTCCAGCTGTACACGCTTCCTACAGTCAGACACAAAATGATCGACATCGAAATCTTCCTGAAAACAAAAACCAAAAGAAACGAAAAAATTACTGCAATGATATCACATTTTACACATATATGTATATATGTATGTGTATGTATATGTGTATATATATATGTACATATATAGAGAGTAATCATTATGCTTTACTAAAACAGTAATGACATTCTATTCATTTAAAAGACTAGGTCAGAACAGCCACAAAGTAGCGACCAGGGGGATCCTAACAAAGGAGCATTCTCTGTTACCTAAACTCGACAGGGGTTTATTTATTTTTTTTTTTATTGAGCATTTCAAATTAACTCTTCTCAAAAAGTGGCTTGATCCCCTTAATTTATAAAGTTACATTGTATACATTGTAAAACTTTCTTTTTAAAAAAAAGATTTACTTATTTACACATACAAGAACTGGGGTGCAGCCAGAAGTGTGTGTGGGGGGGGGGTGAGAGGATTCCCCACAAAGTGGGGAGCAGAACAGACAGATCGAGTGAAATACACTGTTGAGGGGAGCAGCAGGTAGACCAGGAGAGGTCTGCCATGTGGGACCCCCATGTTCCCCCAAGTCGAATGCCAGACAGCCTCAAAGCACTGTGCTTTAACCTGTTGCGCCACCAGGAAGGGCCCCGTTGTAACACTTTCAACCAACAAAGAATTATACCAAAGAGAATAAAAACTTACACTCTGATGTTTTATAGGGAACTCATGATTTCTTCCACTATTTAATATTATGATTCATATTCTGCCAGACCTTTTTTTGTTTTGTTTTGTTTTGTTTTGTGTGTGTGTGTGTGTTGGGGGTGGGGGGATAAGATTCTCTTGACTATATAAATTACTTTTTAAAATTGAGATACAGGCCCTCCCTGGTGGCACAGCAGGTTAAAGCACAGCAGTAAGAGCTTTAAGCCACTTCCGCATGAGATAGATCCCCGCCTGCCCCGGAGGAGATCCACATGGCACAGCAGACCTCTCCTGCCCGCCCACTGCACCCCTCAGCAGTGTACTTCCTCGATCTGCCTGTTCTGCTCCCCACTCTGTCTCTGGTGATTACTCTCACCCACCACATCTCTGGCCTGTACCCCAGTTCTGTATGAATAAATAAATCTTTAAAAAAAAATTGAGATACAATTGACATAACATAATAGTTTCAGGAGTAAAGCATAATGATTAGATATTTGTATTATTGCAAAATAAATGATTGCCACAATAAATCTAGTTTAACAACCACTATCATAGACACGTATTACAATTTTTTTTCCTGTGATGAGAATGTTTTAAGATCTACTTTCTCAGCAGCCCGAGGAATGCAGAACACCATTTACATCTGGAAATCTCTTGAGTAAAATAAAATGTTAAAACCAAGCCAAGGTTCACTAAGATAACCTAAGACAGGGGCCCTCCTGGTGGCGCAGCGGGTTAAAGCACAGCACTAAGAAGCTAAAGCCACTTCGGCTTGAGTTCGATTCCCGCCTGCCCCAGAGGAGATCCACATGGCGCGGCAGACCTCTCCTGACCCGCCCGCTGCTCCCCTCAGCAGTGTACTCTGTCGATCTGTCTGTTCTGTTCCCCACTCTGTCTCTGGTGAAGCCTCTCGCCGCCTCTGAGCCTCTGGCCTGTACCCCAGTTCTGTATGCACAAATAAATAAATCTTAAAAAAAAAAAAAAAAGATAACCTAAGACAGGCCAAATGGCCCTAGACGAACAAACAAAAGGTTTAATGTCTACTATCAATTGTGAAAAGAAATTTAGGTGATATCCAGGTAAGACTGTAAACCCTAAGTACTCAATTAATACTGAGGAAAGGAGAAGGGACCGCGCACAGCAGTACAGAAGCTAACACAAATGCCCTTCATCACGCTGCCTTCTAGACAGACACCCAATCTTGCAAGACCATCAACAAAGTGCATTCTTTGAAGCTGGGCAGGGAAGTGTTTCTCACTTCGTCTCACACAGTCTGAAAAGGCTATATACCATATGATTCCAAACACATACACTCATGAAATGGCAAATCTTTTGAGATAGTAAAAAGAGCAGTGGCTACAAAGGAGAAAAGAAGTGCAGGGAGAGAAGAAATGGACAGGTGGACTATGTACAGGGGGCTTTTAAGGCAGTAAAATTATTCTGAGCGATACTGTAAAGGCAGATACATGACTGTACCCATCTGTCAACATCCCAAGACCCTGACACCACCAAAAGCAAACCCTGTATCAACTAGGGACCTCAAGTAATGATACTGTATAGCTATTGGCTCATCAGTTATAGCAAGTATACCACTGTAACAAAAGATTTTAATACTAGCAGAAACTGTGAAGGAGAAAAGAAGGGAAGAAGAGGGAACTCTAAATATTCTTTAAAAAATAGCTCCTTAATTAAAAAAAAAAATCTAAAGTAGATGGAATATTACTTTTTGAAAATAAAATATAATTAAAAAGCAATTTAAGGGCCCTCTCTGGTGGCGCAGTGGGTTAAAGCACAGCACTAAGAATCGAAAGCCACTTCCTCATGAGTTCAATCCCCGCCGGCCCCATAGGTGACCCACATGGGGAAGCAGACCTCTCCTGACCCGCCCGCTGCTCCCCTCAGCAGTGTACTCCGTTGATCTGCCTGTTCTGCTCCCCACTCTGTCTCTGGTGAAGCCTCTCACTGCCCCTGCATCTCTGTCCTATACCCCAGTTCTGTATGCACAAATAAATAAATCTTTTTAAAAAAAAGAAAGGCAATTTAAAAGTGCATTTTTATGGTTTGGAAACCCATGGGGATTACAACTGAGATGAAAAAAAATGCACAAAATGATGTAAAAATAAACATATTATTTTTAAAAAGTGCATTTTAAAAAAAGTATATGCTTCCTACTATTTCTGAAAATCTAGAAGGAGTCAAGAATTACACTCTGTAAACCCAGAAATTAGAAGAAAAAAAGATAGTGAATGCAGATAAAGTACAAATCCCCTAGTGGCTGGAAGTTTTGATGTCACAACTTCTAGATAAATTAATTCCTTCCTATTCTAGACTCTCCAAAAACCAGCAAAACAGGCAATTTAACAGTTACAGGCAATTTAACAACCACTAACTAAATAGCAGGGACAGCAACCAGACTTAAAGCCAAATAAAGTTTAAATTTTATTACTTTAGTAAATATTTGCACTCAGGGGTGGCAAACAATGGTCAATAAAAGAACTGGGAATTAGCCACTTAAAGTTTATCAAAGACCCAAATTATTGATAACTTTAATACTGTGAAAATTCCACAGAACTTTCAAAAGATCAAAATTCTCTAAGCTGCCTCATGCTGAAATGCCAAGAAGGAAAACATTCCCCAAATACAAGGAATTATACAGTCACGAGCTACTATATCTGTGGCAGAACCCAAGTCCCCCTCATCGTTACTCAGCGTCCTCAATGGGGAGGTGGTGGTGCTCTATTCCTTGTGGAGTCACAGTCCCACTGCAAGCTCCTCTACATACTAGGTGAGGAGGACAAAGAAAATGGCTGCAGATACAAAACTAGGACTGTTATTAGCAAGGCAAAGGAGCTCCTACTTGAGCTCCTGCATCTGTTTTTCTGTAAAACCAATTAAGTCATGTACAATTTCAATTGTGCATCTCAGTAAGTAGGTCTAATTTATAAAGCCTGCCACTTTCTCTCCTCCCACTAGTATCTGTGTCCTATCTCATCTACTAGCTGGCTGTCAACCCTCTGTAAGAACTGTCCTTTTGTTAGAATGATAAAACTAACAGTGCTCTATCACCTTGCCCTGGGTGATTCGCCCATCTGCCATGGCTGACTTTTGAGCACCAAAATTTTTTTCACAAAGCTGTCCCCTCCTCTGCATTTCTTAACAGACCACCTAAGGGCCATTCAAATAACTTTTTAAGCAGGCTCTTGCTACCAGCCGGCTGGATATAAGATATAATCACACAGTCACTGCTTTATATCTGCCTATTGTGCACAGGGCCCAGTACAACTTGCAACCTCACCTCATCCACCCCTTCTCTTCCCAGTCTCATTCCTCACACTCCAATCACCGTGGACTAAGTACAGTGAGTGCCTTTACATACATACTCAGTGCAAGTGCTCAAATCATGTATTTTGATCTTGTCTATGCCCACACCATCATGTCTGGATTGCTGAGTGCACATAGTAGGTGACCAATGAATGTCTGTTACTGAATGAGCAACTGCCCCAGCAGGACCTATCATGTGAGACACACTAATGGCAGTTTCAGATCAACTGACTACACCTACTAATGCAACTCTGGTACTGGTTAACTTTCCCACAGGCACAAAGCCTATCCAATCACATGTGCTGAGACACAAATGTAGAAATATAACCCCAGCAGCAAGATCCCCTATCCAATCTTTCTGCCATGGAATATAACTGCTATGATGCCTTGCTATCATTTTGCAAATAATCTTTATTTCCAGGTCCCACTTAGAAAAATCAGTAACATTTTATACACATTAGCTACTCTGTTGATGTTCTTCCAGACTGATACAGTATTATAAAATGTTAAGCACATTAATAGGTTGAAGAGTCACAAAATAATAATTACGGGCATTCAAGTCACTTCCCCTGCTCTCTCCTACTCCTATGTTCTACTTTAGAATTTACATTTTAAGATTTTACTTTCTGAAGCTGCTTTCACAAAAGGCATTCTCTTAGCTCAGCGTGAAAAAGATGGTGGTGCTACTGAGTCAGAAGGGATGCTGGTATTGGGAAGGAAGTCTGAAGAAGACAACAACAGATGGGCAAGGTAACCATTTTCTGCACTGGGGGATTCTTGAAGTGGGAGAAGTCAGAACAAAGCCCCTGATTTTTGGGGACCAATGCACCTGTCCCATCACATATCCCTAGCTCTTTCTTTCTCCCCTCACCCCTCACTTTAGGTTCGCGCTTGGCCAGAGGTACAAAAAAGTTTCTGCAACTTGAGTTCATTTTCAGCTCTCAGAACTCCCATCCAAGCTGAACCTCTTAATACAGTGGCTTAGCAGAAATACAAGTGTACAAGAACAAGAACTACATATTGCTGGGTCTAGATAGTCCCACATATTAAAAATGATATGGGCACTGGAGAAGATCAAAATATTTGGAGAAGATGTAAATATTTAATTAAAATCAGAGTTTGGAAGGTTACATGTGAATGCAAGTATCACTAGATAAGTAACCTAGAAAAAGAAACATTATGATTTAAAAAGCAGTAAGAATTTTAACTTACTCACAATTTTAAAGACATACTGTGCCAAAGTTTTTAACTTTTTAACACTAAAACGAGTTAACTGGTGTAAAAACTCTCAACACGCACAAATTAAACATGTAGATAGGCAGACAGATTGATAACAGGCGATAGCTTAAGAGCAGATCCAGAAGCAGCAGCAAGTAAGCAGAAAAAGTTCCTCTGAGCTGTGACTCCAATCTTGGACAATTTCAAAGGTGTGCCTGATGAACCTCTATTATCAGTAAAATACTTTCCGTAGGTTTATGTCCTAAAATTACCTGCACACCATCAGATCACCTTATGAAAACAAGCAGAACAATTTTAGAAGCGGATAATTATGGTTCGCTCTGTTGTACTGGAACGAAATCTGTAAAAATATCCCAATCTCATTCCAGAACTTTCGATGACTGCTAGGCAAAACCTTGACGTTATATGCCTTTCCTCCCCCCACCCCCACCGGTTCCACGGTCGGTATTAAACTGGGTTGAAACTTGTTCAGTACATACTGAGCTTCTAGGTACAGGGCAATAGCCAACAAGCCTGTGTCTGACAGGACAGTGGCAACCTGCCTGAGTGTGGTGACAGGGTCGGGTAATAACACGGCTTTAACATTTGGCTCCAAGCCCCTTCCCGGAACTTGCAGGCGTTTTCATTCAATCTGCACGATTCCACAAAAGTGCTTTCTCCGGGCTGCACCTGCCTAGCCCGTCAAGACACTCGCTAAGTGCAGCGCGAACCCAGCAGGCAGACGCCGCGGAAGGGCGGGCCGGGCTCGGCAGGAGAAACCCAAGGACAGACCCCGGAGGGTGAGGACGGCAACGGCCCACCCAAGGCCCGACTCCGAAGAGAGGAGCCCGGCGCCCACCTTCATAAACTCGTCCTTATCGAAGCACAGCGTGTCCGGCCCCTTGGGGAGGTTCATCCTACTTTTCTCCATCCTGCCGGCCGCCGCCTCTCAGCTCGAGACACCAGCCGGGCAAAGAAGGCGACTAGGCGAAAGGGCACGGCGCCACAGTCGCAGCAGCCGCTTTACACTGCACTGAAGGCACCACTTCCGCCAACATGGCAGAGCCCACGCCACGGCCAATGAGCGAGGGAGCCGCGAACCAGCCTCCGTTTGTCGCCGCCAAGAGGGACTCAGGGCCCGCCGTGGCCGCGCCTCTAGGCAGTGCTGCCCTCCTGCGGTGGAGGTCAGTACTGCAGGCGCGCGCCTTCCTGGGACACCCAATGCCCAGGGAGGCGTTGGAGAGGGGGACTCTGGGCCAGAAAGGGCTTTGGGGCCTCCTTCCTACATCTCATTGTTTCTGCTGGGGAAAATCTGCTTGCAGCGCCCTTCCTGCCTGTTCCCCTACATAGCTCTTCTTAATTATGCTAGAAGAATAGCTCTAGCCAAATGACCAACCCTTCAGGGTTGGGTGCATCTCACGTCTTCCTGTGTATTTATGCTGCCTGTGTGGGCACTGAGTCCGCTGTGGGAGACTCGGGCTTCATCTCTTAGCCTGGGCACTTGCAGGCAAGTCTAGTGTCTCCTCAAAGGGACTCAGTGCAAACGTGTAGGGAAGAAGTTTGTCAGCTGGGCAGCCCTAGGTCATCTGAACTGCTCTCTGCACACCTGGCCCAGATCCAGGCTGCACCGGCTCTGAGCACAAGTTTAGGTCTTCAAGGTTCTTGAAGGAAGTGCCTGGCTACCTGCTAAGTACACAAATAAATGAACATGGGGGGTTATTTTTAATCTAAACCAGGAGTAGGCAGATTGGTTTATTGGCGGTATTAGTGCAATCAACCCTTCTCCAATTAAGTAAAATGATTTTGCTTTTTTGTATTATGAATGAAATATTTTTTTTATTCTTAGGGACACAAAGGTTTTAAAAAAACTGCTTTAAGAAGGGAAAACTGCAGGACACAGTCAGTTTTCAAAATTAGTTTCTGATTCATGACTTTCTAGGATGGCAAACTAGGAAAATAACTCTAATTGTAACTTGCTGTCTTCCCCAGAAATTAGAGCTAGTTTTTGAAACATTGGAATAATTATAGTTACCTATTTAATTATAAAATTTTGGGGAATGCTTTAAACTATATATGTTTTTTTAAAAATATTTATTTATTTATTCATACAGAACTGGGGTACAAGCCAGAGATGCGGAGGGAGAGAGGATTCACCAGAGACAGAGTGGGGAGCAGAACAGGCAGATTGATGAAGTACACTGCTGAGGGGAGCAGCGGGCGGGTCAGGAGAGGTCTGCCACGCCATGCGGTCACCTCTGGGGCAGGCGGGGAATCGAACTCATGCAGAAGTGGCTTTAGCTTCTCAGTGCGGTGCTTTAACCCGCTGCGCCACCAGAGAGGGCCTAAACTATATATGTTTTAAACCATTGTCCCTTCCTGTAGTGATCATACTGAAATCTCCCTCATACAAGTTATCCTCTCACTATGCCCCAAACAGGGTCTAGATAGCACGTCAATGTAGAAGACACGGGAGTGATGAAGACAAGTTTTCTAACATGCTTTCCTGTGCTGTCAAAGACTCTTTTCCACAACACGTTTGTTTGACAAGACCATTGTAGACAGGCCTCACAAAATGAAAAATGTGACAACACTGCTCCAGAGGCCTTGTGGAATAAATGCCACAATGCCGGATGAAAAGAGAAAATTGCTTGGAAGAATTTTATATTACCTTTCAGGAACATAATGTAACATGTAAATCACCCTTTCTTTTGAGTTGAAAAGATGTGTCTGTCCAAAGTGCATGAATTCAACTTTCTTCTCATCTCTGCCATCAAAAGCCTGGACTCACATCAAGCCTTTGTTCTTCACTTACAGTAGTAGTGTGAAGAGGTGCCATATAGGATGAAGTATTGTGAGGTCGCCCTGGTTGCATGCATAAGCACATCCTTGAATAGGTTACTGCGCCTTAGCGATAAATCTAGTCAGTCGATCTCATCCATCTGACTCCTGTGTTGTGAACTCAGAAGAGCTCATTTGCCCCCTACCCCGCTCCACAGTTCCAACAAGGAGAAATGCACACCTGTAGAAATGTCTATGGTAATATTTCCTTATCCTTCACTTTATAATTTCTCTCTCTTCTCTCTGGTATTTCTCTTTATTGGAGGCAAATTTGACTGGTTTACAACACTATATACATTTTAGTAGACTCACAAATGTGTGTTATTGTACAACACCCGCCATCAAAGCATCCATAACCGTCCACTGCAGTCCATCGGGCCCTCTCACCATTGCTCCCCACCAGTCCAGTAGTCTCAGTTCTGAAGTCAGATTCGAAGATGGTATGTATGTTTTAGTTTTGTCTGTTCTTTTCCTTTATTTAACTATATTCCACATATAGATGAAATAATCTGATATTTGTCTTTCTCCTTCTGACTTATTTTCCATCCATGTTATTGCATATTTATATCACTTCTTTACTTGTCTCTCTTGTGCATTTAGGTTGTTTTGCTAGCTGGACTATTACAGTATTGCAATGAACATAAGAATGCATCTATTCCTCCAAATTAGTGTTTCTGCATTTTTGGGTAAGTGTCTAGGAGTGGAGTTGCTGGATCAAATAGTAGCTCTATTCCTATGCTTTGAGATACCTCCACACTATTTTTTCATAGAATCTTGACGCGTCTGAACTCCCACCAACAGTGCATGAGGGATCTGTTTTCTTCACTTAATCATAAACATTTACAAGTATT